CAAGGCGGGGCGGGCATTATTGAGGATGTGGGCCTAATACCTATCGGTGCCCTGCAAAAAATGGGAGGGTGGGGCAGGAAAAGCCCGCGGGAACTGCATCTTTTAAGATTAAAAATACAAAAAATTATGTAAATGCACATGCCCGCAAAAGCCCGCGTATAAAATGGGGTGGGGTGGGGCGGACGGACACATTAGAGGGTGAGGGCCTAAACCCTTGGCCCGCCCCACACTAAATAAAATAGTACTAAAAAGCATAATAACACACAGAATTGTTAACCCAGTTCGGTGCAAACCAACACCTACTCTGGGGCTATCAAGCTAGGAAGAAAATCCACTAGACAGTATGAACTCAAAGTTAAACTAATCTCAAGTTTACAACTTATCACTTAATCACTACCCTGTGTAACTTCTACCTAGGTTCACCCTAGATATGAGAAATCTCATCTCACCTCCAATCACCGCAATAATGTCTAATAGTCTCAGTCTCAGCTACTGTATCGACGACCTCTCACCTAAATGAAGATCACACTTTAAGTACAAAACAAACACCTTAATCAAGACACCCCTTAATTAAGAACAACATACTTGATCTTGCTTCACATCTTTGATCAAGAACAATACTTAGAGTTGCTTAACAGTTTCCTCCAAGAACAATACTACCTCTTACTTAAAAGCTTCGAGGAGAATAATAACAGAGATTACAACTTTGTAACACGGTCTAACTCAAACCCGAGTGGACCATACAAACAAACTCTCCTGGAGAGTGGAACAATGACAAAGCCCTAATGATTCTACATCATGGACCCGTGCAAAACTAGGTTACAAACACTTCTATTTATAAACTTTTTCCCAACTGGATTTGGGCTTCAAAACTCAACTGAGAGACTGCACAAAGTCTGCAAAAACTTCTCCAAGAAAATAGGTCTTCAATCATAACTTTCCTAAAATATCTCCATATTTAAAAAGTTTGAATATCTTGAAAAACCAACATAATATCTATAATTTATCAATCTTGGATGCCACATAGAATTACTAAATATTCCCAGAATATTCAGTAATTAAATCACAATAACTGAATCTAAATTGTCATCTTTAGCAGACCTGATGTCCTATACTTCTGGTTAGGACATCCCATTCGACACATTCCAACAACAATTTGAAACATCTCCTAAACTAAAAAATTGTAACAGACCAGATGTTCTGCTCTTTTGGTTAGGACATCATATTCGACATATTGAATCTACAAGTTGAAACATCTTGTTCAACATGTTGTTGCAAATTTAGTTTTACCAAAATTCATGTTAATCATAATTTTAGAGAAATAACAATGTTTGACTTAGAAATTATGAATAGTTAAACCTGAGGCAGCGAAAGTGTATCTAGCTTAATCGAGAAAAACTTCACCATTTTAAAAAAAGTTGAATTTAAAAAAATTTAAATGAACAAAGTGCGCTGCAAAAGCAGGTAGCTCGTTAGTTTATGATAAGGTAATGCACCAACTATAGTAGGCATTACCCATATTTTCTATTTGTTTCTACAAGTAAACTTCTCGTAATTAATACGGATTTACAACCTTTGTGAGTAAGTCTAGGATATGATTCATATTACTGGATCCTTTTTTATAAACTATTAGAACTAATATTAACCATTCTCAAAATGATATTAAACAATCGTCTTAGATAAACATAAGAATATTAGGATTTTGTAATAAATCTGGTTTGTGAAAAATTTGAGAAAAAGTCTATCTTTCTAATTGCACTACACTTTCTCTTTTTCATTTTTGTCTAATCACCTTCCTCTTTGTTTACCACAACACCATTTACTTGATGTGTGGGAACAAAAAAATCTTTTTTTGTACAGATTTTTAAATATCAAAACTCATTCCCTCATAAAGATTCTTATATTCTATTTCCATAAATTACACCCTTCTCCATTAAAGGATGGGGTTTGTTTAGTGAATCATTTTAAACCATTACTTCCTCTTGAAACAACTTGTCTTAAAATTGAAGTTAGCATTTGATACCACTTGTTGATCAAGTGACACCAAACACAAAATGGATGGAGGGGTTAATTATGTTGGTTAGAAGTCAATATTATTTTAAAAATTAATTTCTTAAAAATTGTTTATGTTAGATTAACATAGATAAAGCAATAGAGAAGAAGAATAATAATAAGAAGAAAATAATTTCCCTTAAGTTGATCCTTACGAATGGACATGATTAGTGAGAAAATATTTACCTCTTGTGGCAATTAATCATTGATACAAAATCCAAAAATTATCACGAGTATTAAATAAAGAACAATATCTCTACTCACTCCACACGAACAGAATGTCTTTGATCTTGGTGATTTCTACTACGAGTGAAGATTTCGAGAGAGGGAGAGTGTGTGGATAGAGTTTCACAAAACAAATTTGGCCAATCATTAAATACTTCAGTGCAAAGGTTTTATTTATAGAAAGGCTTATATGGGTTACAAGTTGAATAAGCCCATATAGTACATGTATCTTACATTGTACCGCATTTCACTTAAGTGTGTCATATCTTACAATGTTCTATATTTTATTTAAGTACATTGTACCTTATGATGTTCTTTATTTCACTTAAATATAGTGTACCTTATGGTGTTCCATTTCACTTAAGTACATTGTATCTTATGGTGTACTATGTTTCTCTAATTAACACTAGTGTATCGCAAGACAACACAATCGAATACATTGCACTAAATTATTTTCTCTCATCAATTTGTCATTATCTATGTGACATTGTAGGTTTTCATGATATGGGAAATTATATCAAATCTCGCATTTAATATAATAAACATTGTGTTATCTAGCAATACATCATTGCTACCTAAGTCATGAAAATGCCATATGATTTGACAAAATATTTCAGTGATAATGTTTACATGTAATTATCCTTTTCCTTTATTTCAATATTTAACACAAGGAATAGAATGTATCACATTTGTTCAATTCAATATTGGATCCTTATACATTTATTCTATTATATGATGGGTAAATTCCATCAAAATCACTCATGTTCCTCTGTATGATTTGTAGAGTACATATCAATCATCTTTATAGTAACCGTGTTATAGACAATATTTGATCGGCAACAAAGTACTTGACTTCACATCTAGAGTCCATAGTAGTTTTAGGTCGGAAGATGGTATACGCCAATATCACCATGAAAATAACTTATGGCACTTGCATAACATTCTATGTAGTATTAGCATAACAGGTCAATCCAATATAAATATTAATCATAATATTCATACTTATGTGAAGACTTGATAACTCTTTATCCATGATCCATGAGATGTGATTATACGTCTATCCACATAATAGTCTTAATGCTTTGATATTATCTTACTTCATAATAAAGCTCAATTACATATACTTTGACTATAATTTCCTTATGTTTAATAGGATTTCATGATTAAGACACACTTAATATTTCATTAAACAAACTAGTTATTCTAAGAACTTTATTATTTTGAGGGGAAAAAACAAATATAACAAAGAAATGTCTTATTATTATTATTAGATAATTCGATACAAGTATAAAGTTCTAATAAAACTACTGACTTATAGGACACTAACAATGATAACTTTGATGCATCCATTAATGTAGAAAGGAAGAGGATGATAGATAAAAATAGATATTTCAAATGCTAGGATCTTATATGGTGAGATATATTGTGTTAGGTAAAATAATGTTTGAAGAGTTTGGATTTGTGGAGGATAATAAGGAACATTTGAAGTCTGACCTAGGAAAAATGAAGGAGGGTTATGATTTAAAACAAATCTTATTGAGTTCAGCGAATGAAAGTTTGCTCTCTCTTGAAAAGAGATATAAAGATGTCTGCTTTTCTATTGAAAATTTGATGAAAGAAAATAAGATGCAGAAGAAAATGAAAACGATAGAGAAAGTTTATAAAAACAAGGTGATGGGTTGTCCTAGGATGAGGTTGAACTACAAAGTCTCAAGTAAACGGATAAAAGTCATGCATTCACTGTGGAAACACTACAAGTTGAATTGAAGGAGTCATACATGAGTCTATTTATTCTTCCGACCAGTCCTTTGAAAAGGCAAATGAGGAGGAAATTTTCTTGTATCTTAACCTCAACCTTGATAAGTTCATACCAGATGGCAATATTTTTCTTTTTTGTCTGAATATTGATTATGCGATTACTTTAATTTTATTTATATTTTTCATTATCCTTGTAATCATATCATTTTTAAGATTTTTTAATGAATTTTTGTTGTCTCGTTGTATTCGCCAAAATTTTGAAATTGTATATATTTGCCTTTGGAAATATGGGTTTGCATATAGATTGATTTAGGCGAGATCTCCATCTAAAGACATTCAGTACAATAAGACTCCACTTAGGATGTAGTGATGCCTCAGAGGTTGCAATGATATCTCAAAGGGTGCAATGATATTATATAGGGTGCAAAGATACATTGGAGGGTGCAATGATACCTCAAATGGTGCAATGACATCCCAAAGATGCAACTTGAACGCTTTCAAAGCAAAAGGGGATAACTTCAATAAATAGAGTTCCTCATTAAAAACCTCTACCTTGTGATAGTTTTTCCTTAATCATGTAAAGGCCTTTCCAATTTTTGAATAACTTATCTTTCTTGGCATGGGCTACCACCAGTTTGAGTACAAGATCGGTGTATTTCATTTCTCTTTATATTACTTGTGTATTATACCTTTTAGTGACTCTTTGCTTTGTTGTGAACTCTTGATAGCAAAACCAATATACTAAAATAAGTCACACCCAGACCAGCTCAAGAAAATAAGAATGATAAATTGGATCTTGACTTATCAGAATCACATCCTCAAAAAGATAACTCAATAATTGAAAACGATTGAAAACATCTATTAATAACTCAGAAAAGCAAAAACCATTGTCAATGCTAAACCTCGAGTAATATTACAAAATACATATCAACAACAAAATTAAAACAACACGAAACCCTAATTTTCTAACCCCCAAATCCATAAAGAGTTCTTCCCTGTCTCTTGAGAGCGTAAACAACGTCCATTGCAGTAACAGTCTTACGGCGAGCGTGTTCGGTATATGTAACAGCATCACGAATCACGTTCTCGAGAAAGATCTTGAGAACACCGCGAGTTTCTTCATAAATCAAACCACTGATACGCTTCACGCCGCCACGTCTTGCGAGACGACGAATTGCAGGCTTTGTTATTCCTTGAATGTTGTCTCTGAGAACCTTACGGTGTCGTTTCGCTCCTCCCTTTCCAAGACCCTTACCTCCCTTTCCTCTTCCAGACATGGCTCAAATTTCTTGAGTTTCTCTCTTTCTTTGCGATTGAGCTAAATCTGAAATTGAATGCTGTTGGAGAAACAAATATTTGGAATATTATATAAGATACGAGTACGTGATTTTGACCGTTTGATTTGTAACGATCCGTGTGAGAGGAGAAGTTAAAAGATAGAGCGTTGAATTTAAAGTGCTTGATTTTGATTGGTGGAAATAATATAGTGCGGATCGATGAGGTGTGAATTTATTTTTTGTCTAAATGAACCCGCCAACTATCACAATAATTTATTTTGAAAATTTCTCAAATTTAAATAATTTAATAAAAATGTACTGAAAGTATAAAAAAATAAATACGTATTATTTTGGAATATCATATAAATAATTTATAATTTTCAATTTAATTTTATAAAATTAATAACCATTGATTAATAGTGTAAAATTAATTTAAATTATCAATATATCATCATTTTCTCATTTAATAGATAATTAGTTATAAAAAAATTAATTAATATTAAATGTTTGATTATAGTTACAATATTAAATTTCTTAAATTAGATGGATAAGTTGTCATCATATAATAAAATATATTTATACTATGTCCTAGGTAACTACATTAGGTGGATTTGATATATATTAATAATTTTGCAATGAAAATAATCACTTTTATAGGTATTCTGTAATTGTATGTGGTTGAATTATTGTTTGATTTTAAAAATAATAAAATTATTAATATGTTAAATATTCTTTATAAGAGAAATTGTATGTTGTTGACTATTAGTCAGTAAATTAAAATTAAAAATATTTAAAAGATAATTTTTTTTTTCTTTTAAAAAATACATTATAAATGGCCTTACTTATAGAGTTAGAATGGACTAGTAAAGTCACAATATATTGATACGTTGAATAAGTGATTCATTCTCTTTTTGTTTTATTTTATATGTATAATTATATGTACACATACATGTAATATGGTCTATATTCATGGAATCAAGTGCGAGAAAGAGCTATAAAAGATAAATGTTCCGTTAAACAGTCCTGTGAAGCAAAATTCAGGGTTTTCTATATTTAAATATACACTGCATGTGTTCTAAATTATTCAATCAGCAATTAATCAAGTCATCATTATATCAAGTTCTCATGTGTTTCATCACGCTTTATATTGTAGAGAAAGTCAAATGTTTTGGTTGGATTGAGACAGTTCAAGCCGAAAATCAGCATTTCACGATTCGAGGTCAAAATTTGTAACTTGAGACCGGAAAATGGTTTGGAAATGGTTCTTCAGGCATTAGAACCGTCTTGAGATCTTCTCCAATTCATTTGTTCAGGTCGTAGGCTAATTTTGTAAGGAAAATCCTCAAAAGCGCAAATACATGAAATCATGTTATACAGCGGATTTGCTGGTCAATTGTTTTTTCGGATATTCAAAGATTCGTAACTTCTGACCGGAAGATCATCTTTGAGTAGATCTCGGAGCATTTGAATTGTCTTGTTATTTTCTTCAATTCATATGTTCGGGTCGAGAGCCAATTTGATATAGAAGCCCTCCGAAAATGCAAAAACCCTGAAGATTGTGTTGTGAAATGGATTGTTGGTCCACTGTTTATCGGACGTTAAAAAATTCATAACTTTCGACTGGAAAATGATTTGTGAATGGTTCTTCAGGCATAAAAATCGTCTTCATATCTTCCTCAATTCGTATGTTCGGGTCTGAAGTTAATTCTTTGAAGAAGGTCTCCAAAAGTGTAAATTACCTAAGAAGTTGTGTCATACCCCAAATTTGCCCTACCCTTATATTATATGTAGGGTTCTTTTAAATAAATCATATTATATAATTTTTATTTATAGGGGGGAGGCTTAAAGTTTATAAAGAGTGGTCTTTGTCTTATAAAGAAATCATGGTTTTTTCTCAATCAAAAAGGACTCATGTAGCTTTTTAGTCCATTTCAAATATTAGAAATAGGGTGTATTGTGTCAACATGGACCATCAAAATCTGATGGCCCATGTGGTTTATAATTTACATAGAGGAGGGGTGTATGTTTTTGCTTCAGATCGGCTCATTATAGTATACAAGCTCATTTAAGAAAAAAGGGATTATCAAGATATTTTAGGCCCATTTAAATCTTTTTGTCCATTAAGGTTTGTTAAAAGTTTGTTAAAAAAAAAAGGAAGGGGAAGTGTGCTAATTACCTGAAGAGAGGTGTTCTAAATCAGAAGGGTCCATTACAATGGAAGCCCATTTGCTAGAAAAAAATTCTTTTGGATCATACAACAAGTGGGGTGTGTTTGATAAATCGTTGGCCCTATAGTGGTTAAACAATAAGGCATGTTTCAGTTTTGTTGTTTTGAAAATAATTGTTTTATTTTATTGTTATATTATATCAGTATTAAAATTAAAACATTCTTGTCTTGTTTTATCAATTATAAGCAAAATTGGTGTCGCACGCGCAAATCTGAACTAAGAGAGAACAAAATTGCAAAAGTGGACTTATGTAGAAGCCGCACCTATTTTGAGATCGATCAATAGCAATCTATGTACTTCATGTTTGGATAAATGATATAGAGATCATCATCCCTTAACATGTAGCACAATTAAAAAAAGAAAGGGATAAGATGAAGAGGGAGGGGAATGATAAGCTAATTTGGATCGCTACCTCAAATTTCTTTCATCTTTAAATTCAATCACTCGTCTTGGTGGATTAAAGCACTAAACATATCATTAATCCAAAGCACCAAAAATGAATTAAATAATTCACTCTTTTAGAGATTTGAATTGATGAACATTTATCCAACTTCATCTACACCATAAAGTCTATTGAAATTAAAGAGAAATTGGACATTTGAAATTGCAATCCAAACCAACAATCAAAAGGAGTGAGTAGAAAAACATTTATGAATCAAAACAGCCCCAAAATAAGGCAAAAAATGCATTATATTTCTGTGCAAATCAATTTGCACATTATTTTTTTCCAAAATATGCGCGATATTTGATGTGCGATCGACCTAATGTGTCTAACGGTATCTTAACTGCAAGTGCACAGTGTTATACCCCAAAATTTGCCCTCCCATATTCCTTAAGAAATTGCCAAGCCAAGCTAGAAAATTCCCCAAGGGTTGTGCAGCTCAACTGTTTCCTATACAGTCAAAACTAGGGTTTGGGTTCTGATCAAGAAAAGGAAGTTTTCAAAGGCTCAATCAAGTCTCATATGCTTACAAACATGGTCAAGCATCCTCATATCAAGTTTCAAGGCATTCAGCTCAAGATTGCACAGTCAAAACCCTAAATTGCACTACAGTCAACTGTAGGGGCAAAATGGTCATTTGACAGTCAAAAGTTCAAATTTTTGGTCAACATATCATTTTGAAGCCACAAACATCATTTGATCAATGCTTGATCATGATTCTCAAAATTTGGCTCAGAAATCATCAAAGATGCAAAAGTTGCTATATTTGGACAGCTGAAAAAGTCAACTGAAATTGACCAGGGCATAACTTTCACATGGATTATCAGAAAAATTCCATCCAAAGCTCATTTTGAAGAGAAAGACATTTCCTACAACTCATCTTCATACTTCAAGTCCAAGAAATGCTCTCACAAAAAGTTATCAATTTCAACATTACAGGTCATTTTCAAAAGTCAACAAAAAGGGACTTTAAGTCAAAGGCCATAACTTGAGATTGGTAAATCAAAATGACATGGGACCAAAGGCCTTGGTTAGAGGACTCAAAGACCTTTCCAAAATGTCCAAGAACATGTGAAAAGCTTAAAAATTGAGCAAGTTATGCCTTGTAGAAGTTGGGAAATTTTTGTGAAATGGCAAAAGTCAACTATCTTTGAAAATCCAATTTTTGACAAAAGGGCCCCATTTTTCTCACTTTGTTCATCCTTGTCATGCCACACACGTGGCCCATGATTAGTTTCAAGACCAAATATTGATTTTTTTTATTTTATTTAATTTTTGATGATTGAATTCATTTTAATCCTTTGAAAATTCAAATAAAATTTAAAAATCAATGAAATAGTGTCAAATGAACTTGGACAACTTCTATGCATCATGAATCAACTCAAAAATCAGGCTAAGGTTCATTTGCATACTAGGTCTAGGTTTTGGCTAGAAAATAGGAAAAATGGTTAAGGATGAAAACCCTAAGGCCAATTCTTTCTCAAGCATGGATTAAGGTCAAATAGCAAGCCTATTCCATTCCATAATCATCACTGAGTCCAACCCTAACTAGAACATAGCAAAAGACTCGCTCAAAAGTGGATTGGACATTTGAAATTTTGGCCATAAAATGCAAAACTGAAATCAGTGCTAGGGATCTTTTCAAGCCTTAATTTTTGTACCAATAGCTTCCTGAGATAATTCTGAACGATTTTCAATTCATAACCTCAATCAAAGCTCCTTGAACTGGTATCTGCAAGTGAAACTGTACAGAAAATTTTTGAATTCGTGTTCTTGATTCTACGCATCCTTTTGCATTTCTAATTACATATTCATGTTCCTCACAAAGTTTCCAAGCTGTTCATGGTATTTAATTGCATTTTCATAAGCCATACACGATTTTACCATTTTCATGTTCTAGGGTTTCCAGCTTCTTAAATTGGGGCTTTTGTAAATAAGAAAAATCAGAACTTCAGAGCAACACCATCACACTCCATACATCTGGACGAAGAGATCTACATGCTTGCGCCTAATTTATATTAGGAAACAAGCTATTCGCTATTTTTTTGTAGCTTACCTAATGCAACGTTTCAAAACCGTTGCTTTATTTGTTTGTGTTTCAGGAAATTGGAAGGGATGATGGTGTGGCACAAGCAGACTGGGCAATTCGAATTCGCGCGCGCTTTAGTCATTAGGCGTTGGATTTAATTTATATTATTTATATTATGTTATATATTAAATGAAACACAAATGCTTCAGTGGTACAGCTGTTACGCTTGCAATGCTTATGGCCTGGGTTCGAATCCCAGGCCTTGTAAAATTTCCATATTATTTTTCATTTGGTAATTGCA